ATCAAACCTCTGTTGGCAACACTAACTGAACTGTCTCTCACGCAGACTCCGGTGAACCAGTATCCAGGCCCCGAACCAGAACCAGTACATTCTGTGTGCTTGTGCATAATAAACTTGTTAAACTTTCATCCCAGTGTCCGTTAGTGGTGTTCTGCATTCTTGGGTCGCTTTTAGTGAACCCATCATGACAGGAAGAGTTTTGGCTGTGAATTCAAACAGGTCCAGCCTTTCCTGCTTTCACTGCCGGTATGCTCTGTCGCCTAACAAACATGACAGTTGACACACAAAGCAAGAAAAGAATGAATACAAACTTTTTCATTGCAAAGGCATCGCCGCCGCGCTACGACATAAACCTTCGAAGGACGCAGCCCCCTGCATTGGAACTCAGCAATTGTTTTCAGTATCAAAAATAACTATGTAAACACTACCAGGATGGACGTTTTTTGGTGTTTTATTTAGAGGCATGGAATGTGCCAAAGTCCCATTGATAAGACGTATCTAGCCTTTTGAATAGATTACATTCAAAATAATATTTATCAATTTAGCAGTCCTTACAAATAAATATAAAGTGCATTTTCATGAGCTTGTTTAATTTTTACATTTTATTTCTAAAAGTTAAAAAAAATTTATTATATATATATATATATATATATATATATATATATATATATATATATATATATATATATACTGTATATATATATATATATATATATATATATACGTATATATATATATATATATATATATATATATATATATATATATATATATATATATATATATATATATATATATTCAGTTCTGTCTTACTCCAAACTTAGTTTATGGAAATCTGAAAAACTCACACGGAGAAAAAGACATTTAGAAGAAATGTACTGATACAATTACTTAGTATTTGGCACTCAGACCTCGGCAGGAAACATATCGCTGAATTTTAATAGATATGCATGGACAGAGCAAAGAACAGGGCTTTTTCCCCCCAGGCCTGAAACTGGTGGTGGAGTGGAGATAGATGAAGTTGGTCAGTCTTTAGACTGCTGGTTAGCGAGACGGTCTGCTGAGCTTTATGGGGAGATCCAGCGGACTGTGTGAGCTCACACTGCAAAAACGATCCAGAAATAAGTAAAAAATTCTTAAATTAAGTATATTTAGCCTTAATTTGAGCAGGTAAATAAGATGATCTGCCAATGGCATAAGTATTTTTACTCTTAAAATAAGATAGTTAGATAATATGCACTTGAAATAAGACGATAACATTGTTTTTTCTTATTTTAAAAGGATATCGTCTTGTTCCATTGGCAAACTGTCTCACTTACCTCCTCAATTCAAGGAAAATGCACTTATTTTAAGAAAAAAATAACTTATTGAGATTTCTATTTTTGCAGTGCATACTAGAGCTTCACTCAGGGACCTGGAAGATGGAAGTCCAGTTTGGATAATACAGGTTGAAAGAACCTGTCCGTGATGAGCAAGCATGAAGCGACAGTGGAGAGGAAAAACTCCCCATTGTGAAGAGGGTGGGTCTAAACGGGGACATCTGAATGAAGTCACATGGCGCCAGCACCGCCTGCACATCAGGGGCCTTTTAAGATGAACTTTGGATGCTGATCGACCTTCGTGGAGGCGCAGTTCAAAGCTGATTGGATGTGTCGTAGGCGAATGAAGGCGAATAACCAGTTTATTTAGTTGAACTTCCGCCTAAGCTCCATATGTATTTCTGGATGCTCCCTTGATGTCTCTATCCTAAAGTGTTCCAGGCGGCTGCCAGGTTGCTGCCTGGCTTCTGAAGATTATTTCCCTTAGATAGAAAACTTTCAATCAATTTGATTGCATGATCTGGTGAATTGTAAAGTGCCTCGAGATGTTGTGAATTGGTGCTTTATAAATAAATTTAATTGAATTTAATATATTTTTTTATTATTTTATATTTTTGCTTGATTATTTTGAAGATTTTTCTTTTGAAAAAAATCCAGAAAAAAGCTGCATTGGGAGAATTTTTAGCTGGGATTATCATTCATTTATGACGTCTCCAAACTCACTACCACAAGAAAGACTTTGTTTTGATTTGTTTTTCGCCCTTTTTTTATTTCAGAAAAGGTACACACATTTTTGTGTTTTTAATGTTTCCTTTTAAGATATTTTTATATCACATTACCAAAGTGTTAAGATATAAACCTTACCCATATTCTGTCAGGTTTGAACAAAATGATTGGGAACAAAGCAGAAAATCATCATAAAGGCCAGTAGCTTGACGGTAGATTCAAGTTAAATATTATTAAGATCACTATATCAAGAATCTACGCTTATTTTCCTTAATTAAAAACTTTTTTTTCTCCTTTTTTTTGTTTGTATCCCTTCAAGGAATTTAAAAAGGAGCAATATCAGTTACTTGTGACCAAGGGCGTAGGTTTGATTTGAACTTTGGTAGGGACACTATTGGTCTGGTGTCATTGGTGCTATGCAATATGCATGCCCTTTTTTATGCTCGATGTGAGCATCCGTACTGATAAGAGGAATTCATTGTTAAAAGAGAAAAGCAACATTTTGCTCCATTAATAAAAATGTTATAAGCTCTACACTCATTAGATGCTGTTTATCAATGTTTGAAGTATCACCGGCTCTGATGAATGTGGAATTAGGACTGTTTTCCACTTTGAAAACGGTTTCATTTGAACGACTAAGAGAGAAGGTAAATACAGTATTTTCTTTTGAAGATATAGAATTGTGCAGAGTTAAACCCCACTCTTATATTTGTACCTACTATTCTCTCTCTGTATCAAGCAAAATAATACATTCATTAAAATATTAACTTCACTATAAAAGTTGAACATCTGGGCTGTAGTTACTCTGTGTAGCCAATTTCATGTATTTCATCTGGGGCTGAAAAAAATGAATCATATTAATTGATTATTTCAATAATCGTCAACTAATTTAGTAAGTGATTCATCATTAACTGGAGTATAGAGACTTTAAAACATACAGTAATATAAATGTAAAATGTGCCTTTCCCCACAGAGCAACCCACTTAGATAAAAGTCTCAAGAACCAGGGATATTAGATTTTTTATTTTTTTACTCAAAGCTGAATCCCTTCTTAAAAGCAGCTCATCTGAGGTTCTTCTCTGTTATGGTGGTTTAGCTCACAATCTGAACTGGGAATCGGATGCAGAACAGGTCTTTGTTGTCTTTATCTCTCAGCTCCCACTCCACAACACATTTGATAGAAGGATACTCGCTCTTTACTGGTAATGAAGCAAAATTGTAAAAATAAAAACAAAAAAATGAAAACAGTAATATCAACTAAATATCAGTAAAAAGGAAACCCTCACATTTTCTTTTTTAGTTGGCTGTGGCTAAGAATCAGAAATGTTGATGGCTTACAGCCTTTATTTGCCCATTTTTCCAGCAGTCTTCAGAACTCCTGGCTGACTCAGAATATTTCGTTTTATAAAAGAAAAAAAAAGGTTTTTGTTTTTTAGTGTACATGATATTCATTTTTTTATTGGGACTAGTTTTGTAGCCTAATATTAATTGTTGTAACCGCTGCATTCTAGTGTGAATAAATTTTCAATGTTGTGCTCCAAGCACACGCGGACTAGTAAACAGCCAATCAGAGAGAGAGAAGGCGGAACTTAAGGCCGAACAACCAATGAGAGTGGAGTTAAACAGCGCAGCACAGTTCCATGCGCTGCTACATGAAAGGGACAGGAGAGACCAGGCAGAGGAGCTGCGAGAGGAAAAGAAGCCACTGCTGCAACAATTACTGCTGGAAATTATAAACATGTTACTCACATCCAATTATTGGTCGGGACAATTAGGTCGGTTCAAAATTTTGGTAGGGACATGTCCCTATGGTCCCTATGCAAACCTACGCCCATGCTTGTGACCTAAACCTTAAAAGTTTTAACAAGAAAGTAGAGTTGAATTTGATCTTTTAACACTATTAGTCCAAGTGCACATCCTACCAACAAGGTGTGCCAAAAAAATGAAAAACAATCCACTGGACTTGGTTTCCAAGTTTGAAGATGTTTCACTTCCCATCCAAGAAGCTTTTTCAACTCATATTGTCAGGAATAGTGTTGAGTTCAAGGTTTTATACAGTAGCCCAACAAAGCCTTGTTTTTTTTTAATGAAAACATGCAAATTTTGAGCAGACGAAGGGGTCTTTGGAAACCAAGTCCAGTGGATTGCTTTTAATTTTTATTTTTTTTTTGGAATGACAATGACCTGGATGACTGAGAATCTTCACCAGCATACCAACAAGGCGGTGTTGAGTGTTAAACAATCTGTGTTTTGGGAAACTCTGGGTCTAATTGTTATAGAAAATCCATGGAGCAATCCAAGGACAATTTGATTGATTTTCATGGAGATGGAGTTAACAAAGATGAGATATATGTTATATTTCTAGAAGAGTGAAAGTTGAAATTAATATGCATCAATAAAATTAGGATGAACAACAATGGAACTGTGTTACTGTAGTTTTTCCATGTATATTTTATGACTTACATGCATTTTTGGTTGAACTGTTTAGGATAACCATCAAATTGCAGGCATGAAATGTATGAAATTGAGGGAAAATTCATAGCTCAGTGTGATTTTTTTCAAAGTTACATAAGTTTTTTTTTTTCCAAAGAAACGTTAAATTATATGATGGGCTTTACACAGACCGTTGAATATCAATTAAGTTACATAAGGATAAATTTGCATACATTACAGAATAATAAAGAAAAAGGTGGGTGTTATAAAATCACATTACAAAACGAATGATGGCTGAATTGTCAATAAGGAACTAAAATATCAGCGTTACACAGATTGTTAGTTAACATTTCAAGTTTATTTAAAAAATATTGAGGTTGATAAAATATCTAATATATGGCGCAGACGCCTTTAAATCTTCAATACGTCTCTTTCGCAGTTATGAAACTGTCCTGCGCAGGTTTTGTAACACACTCCCTCCTGACCAATCAGGGAGCGAGTTTTCTGCTCACGTGATCTCTATTTTTTTATGTAACAATCGGGGCATCTATGAGGAAAAGCCGTTCACTACATTGCCAGGGACCGCGGCAGCTATCGAAATGTATAAACACGGTCACAGAAGAAAAGCCAGGTTCACATAGCATTTCACAAAACGATTCAATGCTGTCATGGCGCTGAAACCGCAGGCGGAGGAGAAAAGCGCTTTCTTCATCAGCGCTGAGGAGGAGGAGGAGGGCCACCATGAACTTATACTACAGAAAGGTAACGCTTTGGCATCTGAGGACTGTCTCAAAGAGGCCATCGACTGGTTTTCAGCCGCGATGCGCTACGGCCCGGTTCGTCCCGAGCAGTTAAGCACTTTTGTGGATTGTATCCTCCGTAACTTCAAGAGGAAAACCCCTGGGCCAGAGTCCTCAGCGGGCCGAAGTCCGGACCGAGCTGAAGATCCTGGGGACTCCTCGGTGTTCGACTGCCCCAACTGCCGCGGCTTTCTGGGCGAACCTGTGACCGTCGCCTGCGGACACTCGTACTGCAAAAGGTGTTTACAGAGGCGACTCGTCTCCAAGTGTAAACTCTGCGACGAGCCCGTTGGGGGCGAGGAGAAAGCCAACGTAGCTCTCTGTGGACTTTTAGAAAAATGGTTCCCCGACGAGCTGAAAAAGTTGAAAACGTTACAAGAAGTGGAGACGTCGTGCGAAAGGAAACGCTACAACGAAGCCGTGTCGCTAGCGAGTGGTGCTCTCCGCTCAGGTGAGTGAGTGGCTTTTTCTCAAAACATTGGAAGTCAGAAAAGAAAAAAAGGTGTGTCTCGGTAGAAACATTGTTATTTGAGTTACATAAAGTTGAACATACTAGTATGTTTCGCACCTAAACACATTGTGTTGTTAGCGGGGGGTAAAGTGTGAGTGTTCTACTGACATATTTTTGAAAAATACTTGGAGCTGACTACTGGTGTTTTGCTGCCTCCAGTCTGCATGGCCTTGCTTACGAAATTGGAGCGCAGTGCGCATGCGCGCCGGGAATACGTTGCATAAGGCAGGTCGTGACACTTGAATGGGTTCGGTTTTGTAACTTCTGCTTGGGGGGGGGGGGGGGTCATTTTATTTTTTCCCGCGTTACATTCAGAAATGGTTTCCAAAGGGATGAAGCCGAGGTCCAGCAGTAATTTGAGGACACACACAGAGGTAGCAAATAAAGCTTCTGTTGAACATTATGCAAGACTGGAAACTTTTTTTTTTTGTTCAATAAACATCTGATGAATCAAGTTAAAAATAGAAACTAAATCAAAAAAGGTAAAGCCTTTCTTAACCACTGATGGTTTAATATTGTTAAAATGAAGAGTAATATAAATTCAATGATTGTTAAAAAAATGTAACACGTAAGCTAACTTATGACAAAGGAGATGACAATGGCTCAATTCAGTTTATTTATATAGCACCAATTCACAACACATGTCATTTCAAGGCACTTTATAGTTCACCAAATCATAGTCAAATTGATTCAAAGTTTTCTATCTAAGGAAAACCAGCTGATTGCATGGACTCATTGACTCTTAAGAAATCCCTCACACTGATAATGCTTGTAGCGACAGTGGAGAGGAAAAACTCCCTTTTCACATGAAGAAACCTTCAGCAGAACCAGGCTCAGTGTGAGCTGCCATCTGCCGAGGCCGACTGGGGTTCAAGGAGACAACTCACAAGTTAATCAATGGCAAATTCCTTAAATGATAATTATTATATCTATCATCTATCGATCAATATAATAGTAATTATTATTTAAGGAATTTGCCATTGACTGACTCTTTAGCCATGGTTGTCTCCTTTGTCATAACTTAGCTGCAATAAATGTTAAGTAACCATATATGTAACGTGCTTTCAAGTGCTACATCTCTAAAAACAGATAAAAACCCAACAAATGTGTTTAACCAGGTAAAGTGGTAAGATTAGGTCTTTTTTCTGAATAAATAGCAGGAATAATACAAAAGCATCTTCAAAAGTAAAACAAATAAAGAGGGGCTCCCATCATCTGGTGTCAAAGTTGGTCATTAACCCAAATAAATAAAACCTTGCTAAGAATAAATATTTGTCTTTTGTTGCAAGTAAGGGTCCAATATTGTTTCGGACTGTTAATGCCCTGAACCTAAAGTTGTTTTGTCTTATTTATTTATGTATTTCTTTTTTATCAAGGACCAGTACATAATGTAATTACTAAAGCACATGTTGCTACTATTTTTTTTTTTTTTTTTTTCGCATCTCTCTCCAACACACCATCATCTAACATCTGAAGTCCCTCAGCTGGTCATTCAGCTCAGCAGAGGCCTGGTAATGATCCACTTAATGGATGTTGGAGAAGGGTTGTAGGTGATACCTAAGATGCTTTGAAATAATGTTTAGAACAAGGTTTTTTTTCAATATTTTGCAGTCTTAATTACTTCTATTGGATTTTTAAGAGCTCATTTACATACAAAAAAAAAATAACTCCAGTCAAGAGGTCTAGTTATAAACTTTTAATACCTTTGTAATGGTAACACAGCAAAATTATTCAATCTAGTTTTAGCAGGTGGAATGCGATTGACTAGGAGTCTCGCCTCCATGTTAATGATCTCAGTTTTTTCCGATCTGGCCAAGTTTCAGCCTCATTTTAGGTCCTGCATCGTATAGTGTGCAGGGGGTAGCAAGGGGCGATTAGTCACTCATGACCACTTCCCGATCAGGAATCATAAGATCGGTAGAAAGTCATACATGTTTGTAATTCACGTGGCTGTCGTGAGGTGTTTGTGAGCGAGTCCTGCTGTTGAAGCAGAGCTACGAGCCGATTTACCATAACTTCACGCACTGCACATGCACAAACAGGAGGATTCCACTTCTGGCTTTGAGATTGACCAGTCCGAACAGTGCCATGTCTCTGCGCTGAGTCGGACTTGTGGCTTTTGGACGTGCATTGTGAGCATGTAGATTGCATCAGGCCATACAGTGTAAGAATATACATCGTAAACTGTGAACTTTTAAACTCATCGTACAGTCTGAGCTGTAGCTGAGTACAAAGATTGAAGATATCATATACTGTATGTCCGCCCTAAGTCACTGTAGTACTTGAAATTGTTTAAAACCGTTTTATTTTTTTCATTCTCATTGGTAATCTTTCTGAATGTTTAATACATTCCATTTAATTAATTGATCAATAAAAATAAATATATTTTTGCCACTGCTACTCTTAACTTTTTCTCTAGCTCATAGAGATTGACAGATATGTCTTTGACTTTAGCTTTAATTGAATAGATACCTTAAGCTTTTAAAAATTGCCTTTTACTGCTGCAAACACAAAGAGTGACCAGAACCGTGCTCATGATAAAAAGTGCCTCTTGACATTATGATGGTTAATAGACCTGTTTTCATCTGCTTATGAGGTAAAAGGAGCAAAACCACTATAAATCTATGCTGTAATGGATTTTGATAAAAATGCTATTTGAGCAAGATGAGTAACTAAGCTAGTCTTTCATATTTTTTGTTTTAGTAGGATAAATCATATCTGTATATCTTTACAAAATGATGACATATATATATATATATATATATATATATATATATATATATATATAAGGAGGCAACTACACAGAAACTCATCAACTTACCGGTAGGTGTCTTTCTTCCTCCGAGGTTTGCAGATAATTCATTCGTACAAAGTGGTTATCTAATATATGTCTTGTAGGAAGCCCTCTTAGGTAAATGAATAGAACTATATTCTCAGTTCACTTTCTAAAATGCAAAATTTAACATACTACTTTATGTTATCATTATGCTTTTGTTGGGAAATATATCTTTATTATTATTAGGTTCTGGTTGGTAGAAGATTCTCACAGTTTAACAACCCTGTGAGAAAGAAAACAGAATATTTTATAGAACAGTCAGAGCTGATCAAAGCAACATCTGATCCAGGTTTTATTTTGATGTTCGTACCCATTCTCCTGCTGTTCTCAGTTTTTCTCTCAAATCAATGTAAAGATTGTGCATTTGACATAGAGAAACATTTCTAAATGCTGATCTGTTGTTGTGTTTTTTTCCCCTTTCGTTACAGATCCACACATGACTTTGGTTCGTCTCTCCCGAGCAGAAGCGTATGCAGCCCTCAAGCAGTACCAGCTGGCTTTGGAGGATGCTGAATTCTGTTCCAGGTCCAGCTATTCTGCTGAAGTATGCATTCCACTAATAACTTAAACAAATAATTACATCAGGGGTCCTTTGCTCCTGTCCTGCACTTAGTCAAATAATCGTCTAATTAGCAGGATTCTGGAGAACTGGTCTGCATGCTGAGCTGGTAAATCAGCTATTTGATTCAGTTGTGGCAGGGAGCCAGAAACCAGACCTCGAGGACCAGAACTTAGAAATCCTGAACTATATGAACAATTAACTTCTTGACCTCTTTTTTTTTTTCTTGCCACACCATAAAACAAAATGGGTTTAAATCTTATCGTAAGTCACTTTTCCACTCAAAGCCCCAAGATTTGTATCACCCTGGTAATAAGAAACGCAATTAATCAGTCAAAGCTGCACTACAACTTCAGTCCAGCGGGTGGCAGTAATAAGAACATAGAAGTGTTTTTTCTTATACCTCCAGTGTCGACCAGATACACTATATTGCCAAAAGTATTTGCTCACCTGCCTTGACTCACATATGAGCTTAAGTGACATCCCGTTCCTAATCCATAGGGTTCAATATGACGTCGGTCCACCCTTTGCAGCTAGAACAGCTTCAACTCTTCTGGGAAGGCTGTCCACAAGGTTTAGGAGTGTGTTTATGGGAATTTTGGACCATTCTTCCAGAAGCGCATTTGTGAGGTCGCACACTGATGTTGGACGAGAAGGCCTGGCTCTCAGTCTCCGCTCTAATTCATCCCAAAGGTGTTCTATCGGGTTGAGGTCAGGACTCTGTGCAGGCCAGTCAAGTTCATCCACACCAGACTCTGTCATCCATGTCTTTATGGACCTTGCTTTGTGCACTGGTGCACAGTCATGTTGGAAGAGGAAGGGGCCAGCTCCAAACTGTTCCCACAAAGTTGGGAGCATGGAATTGTCCAAAATGTCTTGGTATGCTGAAGCATTCAGAGTTCCTTTCACTGGAACTAAGGGGCCAAGCCCAGCTCCTGAAAAACAACCTCACACCATAATCCCCCCTCCACCAAACTTTACACTTGGCACAATGCAGTCAGACAAGTACCGTTCTCCTGGCAACCGCCAAACCCAGACCCGTCCATCAGATTGCCAGATGGAGAAGCGCGATTCGTCACTCCAGAGAACGCGTCTCCACTGCTCTAGAGTCCAGTGGCGGCGTGCTTTACACCACCGCATCCGACGCTTTGCATTGCACTTGGTGATGTATGGCTTGGATGCAGCTGCTCGACCATGGAAACCCATTCCATGAAGCTCTCTGCGCACTGTTCTTGAGCTAATCTGAAGGCCACATGAAGTTTGGAGGTCTGTAGTGATTGACTCTGCAGAAAGTTGGCGACCTCTTCGCACTATGCGCTTCAGCATCCGCTGACCCCGCTCCGTCAGTTTACGTGGCCTACCACTTCGTGGCTGAGTTGCTGTCGTTCCCAAACACTTCCATTTTCTTATAATACAGCTGACAGTTGACTGTGGAATATTTAGGAGCGAGGAAATTTCACGACTGGATTTGTTGCACAGGTGGCATCCTATCACAGTTCCACGCTGGAATTCACTGAGCTCCTGAGAGCGACCCATTCTTTCACAAATGTTTGTAAAAACAGTCTGCATGCCTAGGTGCTTGAATTTATACACCTGTGGCCATGGAAGTGATTGGAACACCTGATTCCAATAATTTGGATGGGTGAGCAAATACTTTTGGCAATATAGTGTATAAGTAAATCCCCAGGCCTAAAAAGTTTATCTTTGTTATCAAACTGCATCTGGTCAGAGCTGCTTTATAATTTTTTGATTCATTTAAATTACTGTTAAAAACGATTTTTCACAGTTATTTTATTCTAATAACCAGATAAATCTCAGATATCTACAGCCGAAAAAAGAAAAACGGTTTTAGTCAACGTGTTATTTGTTTAAGTCCATGTCTAAATCAGCACATAAATATATCAAGTAGAAGCTCTAGACTGTGGATATAAGGCGATGGTAGGATCCGCACACGTAGCCCCGTCAGCATAGAATCATGAAAATTTAAAATGTGTATTCAAACACTTGAAAAAAACTAAATATTTGGACTAATGATCTGATAAATTTTTCCTTGTAAAGGCTTTTCATGTAGACCTAATTTAGTAAACAGTGAAAACGGGTAAGAATTAATATCTACATTACCCAACAGTCTCAAAACTTTTTTACAAATAATTGTGTTTATAATATGGCATTTGTGGGTTTTGACCACAAACCTGAAAACATATTTCAGATTTCAGTCATTATCTTGATACACATATGAAGCATTGAGGTGTGCTTTTTTGCTTAAGAACTACTTTAAATGTATTTTATAACAAGCGTTGGGTATGAAAAACAACATTGGAAAAGTCCCCTTCATTGGCTACTGCCCCCGCTGGCTGAATAAAGCAATGTAGCTAAACATAAACCACCCTTCAAAAGCACAATAATAGTTAGGTCCCTGGAGGGTCCTAATATGTTATAAAGGAGCCTTTTAGCCAATAAAGGTATTTCCTAACTAAAGAAAAAATTAAGGTCTAAGCTAATTATAACCAAACAGGAGGCCACAGCCTCTAATATGTGGTTGTCTTGATGCTTGTGCAGAGGCTTCCACTTTCCATCCTATAAACTGACTGGTTAACTATGAATAAAGGAACAGTAATAACGTATCTGTGTCGTCTCAACCTTCTAGGCGCTGTTCAGGAAAGCCGTGGTGCTGTATGAGATGGGACAGGTAGACGAGTCTCTCCAAGTCTTCCTCCACTGCCTGACTATCGACGAGAACTTCCCAGATGCTAAAAGAGAAGTGGAAAAGGTTAGAGTTCTTAGGAGTCTGCTGGGGGTGTTGGAACATGACGCATCAGTGCTGGCCATCAAGGCTGAGGGTTTTAAAAGGGATTGAAATCTATATTTTTGTTGAGGTTGTCCTCCTCTGGAAAGTGGAGGATTTTATTAATTCATGCATCCTCCCTTTCAAAAGTTACTAAAAGATTATGGCAGTGTGGTTGACTCTGTGGGTCAACATTGAGATTTCTTTTCAAGATTAATTGGATAGTAAACAGTTAGCTGGAAGTAAAGGAATGTTGGATTTTTAAAGTTGCCTTTAATGAAAGGATTTCTTTCACAAAGCAGAAACGCAAAACCAACAGCATTTACCAAAGTATAATTTAAGTTTGACGTTATCCCAGGGGTTAGTACTGCCTTAGCTAAAACTGCTCTAATTGCTCTTAGCTTTTTTTGCACTTACCATGACTTTGAATTGGTTTAACAGTGTAAGAAAAGCTTAATTACATCTGTACATCACAATCAGTGACAAAATCTTTATAATTGTGTGTAATTAAACCAAAGACTTGCAGTATTTTTTTATTTTAATGTAGAGCAATGATAAATACTAAGAAAATCAGCTATTAAGAACACATGAATTAGTAGGTTGCTAACGCATCAGAACAACAAACCAGCTGCTGTTTTTCTAGCTGATTGTCTTTTAAAAGATGTTCATCACAAGTTCAGACTCAGTTTCACATTTCTTTGAAGGGAGTTATGTCTAAATGTTTTGATCGAAGCTGTAAATGTTAACAAATTGGCCTCAGCCTTTCCGATCAGTCATGGAATTACATAAGTTGTCAGTGGGTCTGATCTTGTGACTGCCTGTAATGACATTAGTAGCACTTACTGACGGGGACACAGACAGCATTGAAGTTGCATAAGTGGCACACATTTGACTCAAAGGTTTACAGAAAAAGTTATTCTCTGGCAGAATCATCAGTCTAACGACATTAAGTGAAACTATCAGGCAGAATTTCAGTGGGGCTTAGGCAAAAAAACAGATAGCCTTAAATTTCATCGGGACTAGAAATGACCATCTGCAGAGCAGCACATTTGACCTAAATCCAACGTTTTCCCATTTCAGTTCTTCCACCAGCAGTTATATAATAATAAACTCACCTCACAAAAATCCAACTGTTTTATTTCCTTTTTTGAAAAGGTTAACAAGCCCGATGAGGCCTACTAAAAGTTGGCAGTTGTATTTTATGCTATTTTTAGATGTTCAGGTGTTTGAAAGGTTAGAGATGGTGTTTTATTTCTTTTTACCAAACTAATGGCCTGCTGTTTGAGAGGGTCGACTGTTTAGGAGGCAAACCTGATGGATTCATAGACAGGAATGAAGAGTCATCGCTGCATGGCTTTTAGCAGCATGAATTACAATTTCCTCTTCTCCTCTCCGATGATTGTAAAGTTATAAACAAATGGTCAGTTGTTTTGAGTAAAGTTTATGAAACAAAATTTTTTTTTATTCTATAAACAATTGCTTCATTTTTACCCCAAATTCTAATTTGCCAAGATTTTATTTAAAATAAATTGTTATAAAATGAAACTAGGACTGAAACGATTAATCAGATTAATCGATTATGGAAATAATCGCCAACTAATTTAGTAATTGGTTAACCATTAAATGGAGTATAGAAACTCTAAAACATGCCTTTAGCTGACAGAGCACCCCCTTAGAGCAGGAATTATACCAAAATAATAAATAAACATTTGAATTTAATATAAGAAAAAGGTTTTTGTCAGTCAAAATGTTCTCTCCAGAACTGAAGTGCAAAATTTTTTGTTTCACCTTGTTTAATTTCGTTTTTAAGGAACCTTTGGCTATCCGATTATTAATCGGTTTATCAAACAATCATTGTCAGATTAATAGATTTGCAAAAAAGTCTGAAGTTTCATCCCTAAATAAAACCCATTTTAACAAATATTTAAGCTTAATTTAACGCATATCTAAGGAAATCATTAATTATTTTAAGTTCTCCTGCTTGTTAGGGCATCATTATTGCTGAATAGGGTCTGCAATATACATAATGCAATAATAAAGCATCTAGAAATGCTGTTGGATCATAACTACTGAACTATTTTTCACATCAAATCCCTGTTTGGGAATTGCATTAGATTTTTGTTAACTTCTAGATGTGACTCTGAGCTCCACTGATCATCTGATTCTTTCTTCCAGATCTTGTGTGACCTCCTCTCACCTGCTGATGAGAATGTTAAGGTGGGCCTGAGAGAAACCACTCAGAGCACGCTGCCCCACCTGCGCAGTAAACATTTAATAAACGATGCCCCAGCTCAGCCGCAGACCCTCCCACAGAGGCAACCACAGCAACACCAGGTCCGTGGAGCATCTGCACACCAAGTGGACAGCCAGGAGGTACCCACAAACCCCATCATTCTGCTGCTTAACTTCCATCTTCTGTTCCTGCGCTAAGGCCTTACAAAGGAACCCCTGTCTCCTCTTCCCCTCTGTCGTGTTTGTTCATCCAGAAACGATGTGAAAGCCTGGAGCGGCCCGGCCTGAGCCGAGCCCAGTCGCTGCGAATGCACGGCTCTAACAGCAGTGAAGAGGGGCTAAAGAGGGTGAGCTCAGCTCCCCAGCTGGGCGACCAGGACAAGGGAAGTCTGCTGAAGAGGAAGCTGTCTGTGTCAGACATTGAATCGTATGTGGTGGACAGTGGAAGTAGCAAACATAAGAAACAAGGTTGGTTCCGAAACGATTTCTTTGTTCACTCTCATTCACTGTAAAACAGGGATGCTTAGAGCAGCGGTCACAGATTAGCGGACCGCAGTCTGTATCCGGACCCACCTGCAGGCTAATCTGGACCCAACCTGATTTGACTGTATCCCAACTTCACTTGTGCCAGTTCCCCTGTTAATATGGTAAAGCCATTCATAGCGTCCGGCACCAGGCTACACGTGATACAAATTAGCCAGTGAGCTGCTGTCAGTCAGAGTTGCTGCTGCTAGCTAATTTTAGACACAGCAGGCAAACCTGTGGCAAGCAGGGTGATGGGAAAGAAGGAGAAGAAGATGAGAAAAAGAAAGCAGAATAAAGTGTGGACTGCCTGAAGAACTGTAGTGCACTAGTGAAAGAAAAATGAAATGCTGTGCTCAAAGATGACCCTGCACAATTTGAGTATGTTTGGCTCAACCTACTGCTGTGAAACAGGATTCTCCACCATGAACAGAATCACAAATGAATATGGATCCAGGCTCAAAATGAGCACCTTGATATGTGCTTGAGAATGGCTTTGTCCCCACTCAAACCCAGGTTTAAAGCATTGCAGGTCACCTAAAGGCCACTGCTCTCATTAAGCCATATAAAGGAAAAAACAAAACAATCGCTCAGTTCAGGTGTTTTATAAAATATGTGGGTCGGGAAATTTATTTAAAAAGTCTAGGTATAACATAAATGCATAAAAACCTGATTTTATTTCAGTGTTAAATTCTGTTTAAAAATAATTAAAATGTCTCCGGACCTTACCTGGTTGATTTTTTTATTTTTTTTTGTTCGGACCCGGCTGATTTTTAATTGGTTACCCCTGACGTAGAGCATCTTGAATTTGCCATATTGCCAGCTGGTCTGTGAAGCTGTCAGAGTTTGTTGTTTTTCCACGGAACATTAGTAACAAAACAGATTACTGAAAACAAATAAATTACATAGTGTGATTCTACTCAAAAAAAAACAAAATAAATATAAAAGGTTTAATGAATGAATATAATTGTAATGCATTGTTTATTTGTGATGAATAAAGATCTTTTCAATTATCTTCAAGGTGTTTCAAAAGGCTCCAAGCATAAATCAGCCAAAGCAAAAACCTGCAGAAGTGTTCCTAAGGATCTTCTGGATGCCAATGACCTTGAATGCTCCCTCTGCATGAGGTCAGTACCAACCCGCGGGCCTCATACACCTCATACACACCGCCTGTCTATCGGCCAGCTGCTGATAACATTTCACTGACCACTATAGGTTGTTCTACGAGCCGGTGACGACTCCATGCGGCCACACTTTCTGTAAAAACTGTTTGGAGCGCTGCTTGGACCACACTCCCCAGTGTCCGCTCTGCAAAGAGAGTCTAGGAGAGGTGAGCTTTATTAAAACACCAGAAATCTCTTTAAGAGCCTTTTTACTTCCATGTTGCCTTTTTTTGTGACCTCTGCCTTCTCGTCCTCAGTTTCTAGCATGCAGGAAATACGTGGTGACGGCCATCTTGGACGTGCTTATTAAACAGCTTTTCAGTAAGGAGTATGAAGAGAGGACAAAAACACACCTGGAGGAGAACAGAGAGCTGTCAGAGTAAGAAGCCACTCGGTTTCTCCTTATTCTCTTTGCTTTTTTAATTAAAATAAAAAGAAGATTCCTGAAGGTTCAGCTAATCTAACTGTTTGTTTCTGTCCTGTTTCTGTAGCCTGACGAAGAATGTGCCTATCTTTGTCTGTACCATGGCGTACCCCACTGTGCCTTGTCCCCTCCACGTCTTTGAGCCGCGTTATCGCCTCATGATCCGCCGCTGTATGGATACAGGCACTCGGCAGTTTGGGATGTGCATTAGTGATCCTCAGAAAGGGTAAACATGCTCCTGTTTCTGTCTGAGCATCAACTCTCATTAAGCTTTGAGCCACTGAATACATAGGGGCAGCTGTGAATAACAACGTGCTGTGTCCTTGTTTGAAGGTTTGCAGATTATGGCTGCATGCTGATTGTCAGGAGCGTCCATTTCCTCCCCGACGGTCGTTCTGTGGTCGATACCATTGGAGGAAAACGCTTCCGGGTTCTTTCTAGAGGAATGAAGGATGGTTACAACACGGCAGACATCGAGTATCTGGAGGACACCAGGGTAAGAGGCACACTGATCATTCCAAGGTTTTGTTTGGGTTGTTCTGCTTGAAACTTTTTTTGCAGTTCATTATAAAGGCTTCATTTTCAGTCTAGAAAATCAAAAATGTTTTTAATCATTTTCCAAATCTGGATATATTTAAAAAAAGAAATAGTTTTGGAAAGTTAACAGTCTTTGAAAACTGAATTTAGTTTTTGATTCACTAAAGGTAGTCTCCATCTACCCCCTCTGGATTTTACAGGTTTTATATCGAAGCTTGAATCCTGTAGGAATAACCGAAATGCATTCATAAGTTTCCCTTTTTTAAGATAAAATAAGTTTTTAAAAAGATTGAGAAATCTGGAAAATGGAGTCCAGGACCAGAAAAATGCCTCAATCACAAAGAGGTTCAATTCCTCATCTAGTATTACTGCTGTCTATAGGATGATTTTATTACAACAGAAGGAAAAAAATCCCCCACATGATTAATGAAGTACACGCTTCATTTACCTGATGAATTTGACCATTTGTGAAGCAGAATTCAGGGAAATTAATAGATGTTTCCTACATGTCTGGATAAACTATAAGGGGGAACTAAAAGGAAACTTTAGTTGCCTTATTAAGGAAAAGACAAGGCGATAAAAAGGATGTTTTAAGTGGACTCAGAAATCAGCCTTTTTAACAATTGTAAGCCACCATTAACACCTTAACAAAGGATAACTTGGTACCAGTGAAAATAAAAACATTTTCATTTTTCAAAAATAATGCTTTAAAGCATTTAAAAGATAGCTGGCTGAAGAAATATGTTTTTTATCATCTGGGGCCAGATGTCTGCTAAAACACAGGGCTTCATGTCTGCTGAAGTTCATGCACTAGTAAACATTTAAATTATAGTCACATCAATTCTAACAGGGTTAGAGTCAATTCCTTCAAAGCATTTAAATGTTTCCTTTAAGAAAAGCAGATCAGCTTCATTAGAAGGCTCTGTCCTCCCAAACTGATCCCTAAGCGGCCGTATTGAAGTGTGCTCACCTGACTTATGTAGAATGTGTTTCATTACTGAAGGCTGTGATTCAAAGAACTCTCATTGTCCTGAAGGCAGTTTTCACTGCATCAAAGCACTAATTTTGTTGCTAATGGCTCAGGATTTAAACATGCTTTACTTCTCTCCTTTATTAGAGGAAGAAAATGCACTTTTAATATGAGTGTATTTTGTTAAGGTTCATTCATAAAAGCCAGTCTGCTGAATTAGCAAATATCCATTAAATGCATCCAGTATTAAGGAGGCAGTTGTATCCATTTCTCTATTTTTTTATTTTATATTTTTTTTACCTCTCAGGTGAACAACATGGAAGAACTTGAAAAATTACAAGAGCTCCACGATGCAGTTTATGAACAGGCCCAGGTCTGGTTCCAAAACCTAAAGATCCGCTTCCACAACCAGATCCTGCAGCACTTTGGACCAATGCCAGAGCGGGAACCAGACATCCAGGTACAGTCCTTCCTCTTTGCATGGAGACGGAGTAAAAACAGTGATCACACTAAAGAGGTGTTATCAGGTTTAGCTTTTACTATTATAACAACTCTGTACTCATTTTAGTGGGTTAATTTTTTGCTTCGCTAACTGGTTGGTTTAGGCGAAAACTCATCATGAAGCAGTGAATATTTTTAATGTATTAATTGGAATCAGCAGGAAGGCCTTCAGGTTTGTAAAGTTTTTGGATCCCAATACAGAACACACTATCCCTCAGTTTCTCCTCCGGGATTGAATCATCTCGTGACGCAGGGCCTTTTGGTTAAGCTCACATCGGCACATATTCAGAAGGTCTGAAGAATGCTGTTTTGTTTGTGTTGCACTCTGACTCCAGCTTTACTCTGAGCGCCCACTGGGATTACAGCTCCTTTCTTTGGACAACTACTGCAGAGTCTTTTGACGATGTGGGCTAAAGAGCTTAATGGGTGCTTCATGGCTAATCTCTCTGGCCGTGTTGCATCACAAAGGTGTCGTGGAAAGATTCCCCAGCTCTACACACACAGATTTACTAAAAAAGCAGAATAAGGACAGTGGGTTTTGGTGCTGGTTGTGTAATCTGAGTTTATAATGAGCTGAAATCCTTTCAGATGGTGTGATGGTAAAATGTGTATGCGCTATGAATGTGTGTGGGGCACCTTTGGTAACTCAGGATCACAGAGAAGTAGTCATTACTTGTTTTTATCTCTGGTACTCTGACACAGCAAGGCATTCCTGCTGCAGATTACGGGAACAGTCTGTCCAGTGTTAACTCATCCCACAGTCGTAGGGCTCATCACTTCATTAAATCTAAACTTATATAACTGCAGCTCCCTGAACACAAGGCATGCTAGGGCTAAAATAATATTTCTGCTTCCATAATACCAGATAAGAGTTCAATCAAAAATCTATGCTCATGTAATTTAAGATCAGCGTGAGATGGTGTTGTGGATGACTGGATTTCATTCTGGCTTTGTCATGTTATGGCAGATGAGTGCAGCCACTTTAATATGAAATCTGTACCAGTTTGTCCCTGAGCTGCAGTAAGACTTAATGACTTTGTTAAGATTTGAAAACCTAATTATAAAGATGCAACAGAGCTCTATGGTCAGTTTACTGTTGCTGGTTAATGCAAAAACTTTGCTTCTGATTTCTATCTATGAGCCAACATAAGAAAAGTGAAGCCTTTCATTTTTCTTTAGAAATCTTTTAACTCAGATCTCCATGATCTGACTCACACAGCCTTAACAGATTTCTACATGTTATAGCCTTTTGCACTCTGACTTAATTCAATCACGTCATGATTGGTGGAAATTGGAGATGCAGTTTTCTTGTTGATCAATTGATCACCAATCGGAGTACCAGTTAAAACCTTAATTGCACATGTTTCACATGTATGGACTGTGGCTGGGTACCGAACTTCGGTACTTTTATGGTACCGACCGAAATGCTTCGGTTCTACAGAGTATCGAAACATGCCTCGTCTTTCGGTACCAAGTTTCGGTGATTGGCTGGAACACTTAAGGTGATTGCGTCATCCAGGAAAAATACACAGGTGGTCACGCCTACAGCCAGGGTTCATGTGAACTGGTTGTGAGCGTCGCGGAACCCCTTTAAAATGCCCCCCAGGTCAAAAGTGCAGCTTCACTTTATTAAGACTGATGCCAATAGTGCGCAATGCAATATATCGTGCACGGAAATAATTTAAGAGCAGAAAGTCGCTCGGTGTTTGACTGCAAGAAGAGCGGACCGCAGCCAGCGCGACCATCCTCCTCTCAGCAGCCCGTGGGCAGAGCAAAGCCAGAGCGGAGTGAATAATGCGAGACACTCATGGAAAATGCTGCTTTCAAACTAGACGCAGCAGGAGCTGCAAAATCACGTCTGCTGCTTCTCTTTTGCCGCTTGTACCAGCTTCTATCGCGCGGCTGAAGCAGCTTTGCTGCTCTGGCTGCGCGGTAGAAAAGTGGCTCTGACGCGCGTTGGGCGGAGCTACTCTATCCTTTATTTGCCTGGCAGTTATATTTGCTGTGATCAGTGGGAATAAAGTAGTTTTATTATGTTTTTAAGTGGGAAAATCCACCTGAAAACTTAATCGGTGCAGTCAGTTCATCCATATCAGCCTTCCAATATTATTTCTGTGGGAGCCGCTCAGACCCCCCCATACCAGCGGTGCGCTGTCAGTAGGATCCCATTCAACGGGCTTGTTTGTCAGACATGGTCATTTTTCTAAAGGAAAACTGCTAAGTAAAAAGGTCCTTACAATGTAACAGTGAATATTAGACACTGATTTTTTTTTTATGTAAGAGGAAAAATGTAAATGGAAAAACAGAGCTTAAAATAAAACTCAAGATTTGTACTTTTTTATGTTGTGTAATTTTCTTTTTTTCCTCGAATTGATATTATAAAACTGGTATCGAAAAAAGTATCGTTCAGGAACCGGTATCGAAGTGAAGGTATCGGTATTGGTACCGGAACCGAAAATTTTTGAACAATACCCAGTCCTAGTATGGACTGATCGCCTGAAATGAAGGATGATTATTCTTCACTCATTTACAGAGTCCACACTAACCTACAGTTGTAGTGTCTATGTTGAAGTCTTCCCTCACCAAACCTGTGTGGTTTTCTGGACATGAGAAAAGAAGAGCAGAAGTTGTATCTAAATAAAATATTTCAGTTTTAGTACGGTCAGGTAGTTAGAAATGTTTCTAGAAAGTTAAATTATTTAACATATCTGAATTTTTTTGTCCTCTTTTCCAGGCAACTCCAAATGGTCCTGCTTGCTGCTGGTGGCTGTTGGCCGTTCTGCCCCATCGACCCTCGGTACCAGCTCTCTGTCCTCTCTATGACCAGCCTCAAAGATCGCCTAGTGAAGATCCAGCACATCCTCACATATCTGCAGAGCATCCCCAACAATTAAGAGCTTCCCCACCTCATGTCGGGGAACATTCTCAATCATCCAGGACATAGGAACTCCAAAAAAGGTTTAAATGAAAAAATAAATAAATAAATAAAAATAGTGGACTTCAGGTTGTTGCTATTGTAGTTTTTATTTTTTTTAACTACAGAAACTGAAGTCCTTTTTTTTAAGAAACCTTTTTTTGAGTTCTCCACAACAAACATCTGGACTTAAAATGTAACATTTAGGCAAACATTCATCAGCATCTCAACAATCTACATCCTCAACTACCAGCTGGCTTCATTGTTTTTCTTTTTACAGCACAACACCCCTCATTTACTATTCTGTAATAAAATCATAAAGGTTCTGTGAGAAACCCTCAGTGTCCATCAATAAAAACAGACATATGGCCAAACCACCTCAGGGATGCACTTTTTGCTATGAAAAAAAAAGTAAAAAAAAAAAATGAAAGAAAGGTGATGCAAATATTTGATGCAGTTCTTATCAGATCTTCCATAAAGGTGGAAAGAAGAAGCTATTTAACCAGATGAAGACAGCAAGGGTAGTATTTCTGTTTGGACGCTGGGTTTTATTTCATTTTTTTTTAATAATGTGAATAAATGAGGTGAAAGTCTATTTTTTAGATGAGTAAAGAACGGCCATGCAATTCATTTTAATCCTTAGGAGGGGGAAACAGAATCCCAAATGCTGAAAGTTGGAAAAATAATAGAAAGGTAATTACACTGTTATACCTCACTTTAAATTTGTCATATAAAGGCTTCATTATGTCATCAGAGGAGCCTTTGTGAGGAGAAATGTGTGCAAACTCAAGTGCATCTACAGTTTGCCGTCTGCGTTCCCAGCACTGATGAAAGTATTACTCCCTTCAAGTTGTCGCTATCTTATTTCACACGCTTAACACGCACAAACTTCCATTGCTGCGCCAGAGTAGCAAAGGACCTACTTTTTCACAGAATGAGGTCGTCTGTGTTTTTTTTCCCATGTTATGTTTGTTTTACTTCAGAGTTTCTTCCAGTTTTGTTTGAGTGTGCTCCCAAAGTTTTCCGATGTGAATCCAAGCAGTTACCTTCTGCTCTGCTCTTTTTAGTTGTTTTTCCTGACAGCTTTGGCAAACATTGTAAGTCTGGATCCCATACAGTGTGGCTGGAAGATTGTGTTAATAAAAAGTACAAAAAAAAAAAGGAAAATCGGACATTACTCCTGCTGCACAGATAAATTATTAAAGGGGGGAGAGGAAATGCTAGACTAGATGTGCTTCCAACAGCAAAAAGGATCAGCTAAACACAATTACTAAAATTATAAAGACGATAATTTAAATCAATGTAATTGTAAACACAATTCCCGGGTAATAAACTCTAAATTTGGAATCTGTGGTGTTGCTCTTAAGTGGGAGTCGTCACAATTATTGTTTACATATTGGTTTCCCCCGAAAATACCTCCTGTTTGATTACAAGTGTGTTAATCATCACTTTGAAAATATTCTATGAATAAATGGGGAATCTGGAAGTAATTTAACCAAACAAAAAAAGAAGTGTACATGAAAGAATTGTATGTAAACCTTCATTAAATGCTGCTGAGTGCTTGGAAAGAGAGGAGGCTTCGGTAGGTGGAGGAGCTACATTTGCCTTACACCATACATCTTTACCTTTATGCAATAGCTTGGTTACCATTCCCTATTTTTGCCACAGCATGAATGCTTTTTATTTTTTTTCTCAAGCTTTTATGTCATAATATAAATAAATGTGTGAGAAAAAGAATAAAAAAAATCTCTATATATATATATATATATATTAAGTTAATGGTGTTTAATGTAAATCATTTGTACAAAGCCTTTTCAGACAGATCTTGCTTTTTGCTAAAATGTTTTAAGTTATCATTTTTCAACAATAAATGCACTTTTTTTCAAACATGAACCCCAGTGGATTCTTATTATTAATGTCTTTATATCTTTATTAGGAGACATTAGATTAAAGTCATACATCAAAACAGTTCATACATGCAAGGAAAGTGGAAAAATAGAAAATTTGTTCACCAAAAAAATGCAAAAACTAACTTTTTAAACTTTTTTTTTTCTCCTTTGAAGCCTTGCATTTGTTGCCCACATGGGGGCAACCTTACAGCATTTTGCTTTTGATTGTATAACTCACTGCACTTACTCAACCTAATCTTCCGATTGTGTTCATAGATGCCTAAAACTCCATGTTTTTTCTTAACACAAAGCTTCAAATCAAACTTGGAGGAAGTGGACCTCGTCGTAAATGAATTTTTGATCCCTCAGCTTCTCTTTTCATCAGAGGTCACCGCGCAGAGAGCATCATCACAAACTCTGCAAGGGAAACAGACAGTAGGTCATCTGAGAAGAACTGATGACATGTAAAATTTAATAAAGATAATTTCCTCACATAAGAAAATGTGTTATAGCACTTTTCCCCTGCTGCTGATAGACTGGAAAATGAACAGTCTAAGGCTGTTATAAAAGTGCCTTGTTTCCTGAACCCCTTACACATTTGGTAAACATACCTAAGTGTTTGAATTTACTTGTCCACCAATCCAAAAGGGATTTCCTCAGCCCCTTACCCATATGCTTAGCTGATGCTATTGTTGATGTTACCAGATGCAAACATTAGGAGGAAATATTTGTCTTCGACCTGACCTGACATCTGTGTCCTCTCATCTGTGTAGCATGTGACAGTAAGCTTCGAGATCTTAATATTCCCCTTTTTAGTCTGGACTGACCCTTCAAGCTGCCCACCATGACTGAATCATCTATACTTTCCCATGTTGACATTTTTTAAATTTATTTACATTTTGATGCTCTGTCTCTTCCACCCTAAACGTATTGCCCTGACCTTCCACTAGCTCGTCTTTTTCCAGATCCCTTCAAAGGATCATATAGCACTATTCCATCTATTCATCAAGTTATTACTCTAAAACTCTACATTTAATTGAAGATAAACCAAGAGGAAAAGGCACAAAGACGTCTTTATTTGCACTCTAAACAAAGATCACAATAGTTTAGTTTTCTAAGGCTGACTAGAAGAAAGTTCATCTGACTAAAAATGAGGTCAGCAAAGAGTTTTTGTTTATTGGTGTTAAATTAAAACAATAATTTGTTCTTTAATTGATAAAATTTAGGAGAAAAAAAGCTATTACAAAACAGCTGCAATGCCATGCTCAGGTATTCATACACATAGATTTTATTCAGGCTACTCTCATTCAACTAAATGGTATTTACAGAAAAGGTTTGTGATACAGCAACGGAAATTGATGAATAATTGTTCAATATTATCTATTTTAATCCTTTATTTAACTAAAGTTAAAGCTCCAATTCTTTGGAAATTGGGGTTTAGTTTGGTTTGATGCAACCACTCTCTTTTTGTGTGTATTTGGTTGTTTGTTCGTTTTAAATATTCTTTTGAAGTTGATTTTTTTAATGTTTTTTACATTTTCTGAAATATATTCCATATAATTTCATTTCAAAGGGAGTTTTTTTTGCAAAGTAACTAAATCTCACCCAGATCAGTTGAGAAAATTTGCTTTTTTTTTCTTCTTTTTGGCCATTTATCAGATTTAGATCCAGACTTAAATTACACTAATATCTATAATTATTCTTTTTGTTGCTGTTATTTATATGGTTTTTTGTTCAAAATGACCCTCCGACTTGGTTTTAATTATTTTGCATCTTCTAATAGGATTTTCCTTTCTAGGTTTGCTCCATGTTTAGCAGCACTGATCTTCACATGAACCCAGATTGTTCTCCCTGTACCTTCTAAAGAAACTCGTCCCCTCACCATAATGCTCCCCTCACTGTTTGACATCATGGGGTTGGTATTTTCTGGGAGACATACAGTGGTAGTTTTACTCTGCATGTAAAACAAAAAATTTACAATTTTATATTTTTCCAGAACAGAATTAACTACGTTGTAGTCAGATTAGCATTACTGGTCACCTGCTCTCAAAGCCAAGGTTGGGCGTTTTAAGATTTATTTTTATAATGATTTGATTAAGATCCATTAGAAGTACATGAGAATAGAAAATGACTTTGACTATAATTACGTCTCTGCAAAGATTTTCTTTCATATTAGTGCTTTATTTTATTTTCAATTTCAGATGGATTTTAAGGCATACGTGAGGCAGTTGGAGAGCAATCTGTTCAACATTCTGTAAAGATGCTTCATTTTTTCTTTTTCAAAGCCACTACTGACAGCTCTCTCTTTCTGCTATTCTCTCACCATCAAAGTCGATGCTTCCATCTTTGTTGAGGTCAATGTCGCCGAGGATCTCCTCCAATTCTCCTTTTTTCAGTTTCTCCCCGAGGAGGGTCTTCATGCCCTCCTTCAGTTCCTCCAGTGTGATCTTTCCGTCTCCGTCACAGTCGAACTGCCATTTTCACCGACAGTGGGGAATTGGGGACATGGTCATGATGTAAAAGGATAAAAAGACAGCTGTGTAAGAGGTGAGGAGAGTTAAAGGTGATATGTCTGGAGGAATAAGAACCATTTTTAAACCAAGGGATATTGAAACAGTTTGTTCAAAACTAAGGCAGGGATATGACATCTAAAAATGCTTGTGAAACATTCTTCTGACAGGGAGAAGAGTTTTGCACTGTTTTAGATGCAGATGTGTGAAGTAACGTGTAGTTTTTTTTAAACGACATATGGATTCACATGCAGCCATGTGCTCTTATGATTTTTTCATAAAGCAGCATTATGTACAGTTGAAGACAGTGACTTAAGAACCTGTTAAAACAAAATGTGTTGCAATGAGTAACAGATTCAATGGAAACCAGATGTGCCTCTGATATTCTCCAAGTGCAATTTCTTGGTTTTCAGTTTAGACTTTAATCAACAAATCTTTGTCCATCTTGTAAAATATTTTCTATAAAAAACCATTACATTTTTTTCCTACATAGAGAATTAAATAAACGATGCTGCTCTGCTAGAAAGAAATTTCCACAAATGTCTTCCATCTCCTCTGAGAGGCTTTTGTTTCTCCATTGTTCTGTTTCCACTCTGTCATCCCTGCTCTTACAGACTTCTTTACATTCCTGGTGCTTTCATAATAGAGGTCCATCTCCTAGATTAACCTTCTGTCGGATCAGGACCCAGTCTACTCAAAGTCATACGTTTTAGGAAGGGTACCCTTACCTGTTTGAAGGCAGAGCGGAGCTCTTTCAGTCCGACCATATGAGCTGTCTCAGCCAGCATTCGTGGCCCCATCAACTCACAAAAATCCTCAAAGTCTACATGTCCACCCCCTGCACATAGAAACAGAAATACGAAACCAAAGTAACAGATGCACAAAATTAATTTAGAGACATGCATTTCAAGCTTTGACAAGGCATCTTCTATCATTGCTCATTTTTTATCACATGGTACCAGGAATCTTTTGCCCTTCCTAGAGGGGTACTTTGGTAAAAACACACTGGTTAGGTTAGCACTCCATCACAGGACTACAGTAATTTAATTACATGGGTCCGATAGACACTCTGTATCATAAAGCAAACAATCCATTTCTGATTAAGTGGGATAACATTATTCCATCTAGTAAAATTCAATAAAGCTCCATTCAATAGTTGTTAAATATAATGTCTATAATATTTGACAGACTTCCTCAACCAATAACGCCCCTCACTGCCAAGCAATGACATTCCCAACACATGCTTGTGAAGTGAGAAGTGTATTCACATTGCAAGAGTTGGGCTCCTACAAGCATTATATTAATATATGACAGGAGTGTGTATTGGTGTAAGAATTTGTATGGGTTAGTGGGCTTGATAAATGTGGATATAGAGTAAAGCGCTTTAAATGGTCAGTATGACTAGAAAAGTGCTATATGAATTTAGTTAATTTACCATTTAGGCTCCATGTATTGTAATTTCTTCATTCAACCACCTCCATCACAGGACAGGAAGCTCAGCTTCTTTCTACAGAGATTTTATATAAAATTATAATAAAACTCAACATTGTTATACCCTATAGATATTAAATTGCTTTCATTTAAGGAAGGAGTTTGCTTCATAAAGGATCTGACAGAACACTGTAAAAGGATGATCAATTTTAATATCAACTGCTGTTTCACTCACATTTAATTCAGAAAACATGATGGTTAAAAAGTTGAACTGGTTCTTGCCCAGAATCAAGTCTAGAGTCTGGCTGGGCCACTAGGAAACATCAATATTACATTTAGGGCCGGATCTATCAAAGGTTTGCGTGTATAAAAACGTGAGCTATTTCACTGGGCACGCTAAAAAATGTACAAACTGATCTATCAACAGCGTGCTAAAAGGATTTGGTCTTTAAAACGTGCTAAATAGCGCCTCTTATCCATTTAGTACTTTTTCTGCAATGAATATGCAATATAGGGCGTTTACACGCAAAAGTGCGTCTTGTGGGAGGAGAACATGTAAATATATTAATTTAGCACTCGCAAAGTGATTTATCAAACCTGAACGCAATTTTGCTAACGGTATCTGACTCTATATTTAACACGTTTCAAAAGAAGGTGCAAATGGTCTGTATGCGTAATTGCGCACACATGGCAGCGGTTATTGTCGCAAGAAGGAGACATGGAAATAAAGCAAGGAGACGCAGAGAACGCATTTTTTCACTCCGTGTAAATATTTTTGGAATGAACGAGGAAACGATCATCAAAACATATCGTTTATCCAGCATTACCATTTTGGAGCTGTTGGGGGAACTCCGAATGGATTTGGAGCCAGCCACAAGGAGGACCCACGCAATACCAGATATCACAAAATTCCTTGCAACATTGCACTTTTTTGCATTTGGGTCATTCCAGCGTACGGTTGCAGCGAGAGCTGGGATCTCCCAATCTCCTTTTTTCAGAAGTGCTGTCCGACGGGGTCGGGGTTCTCCCCCTGCGCCTGTGGAGCAACGTGCCAAATGCTGCGGGGATCTCATCCACAGTCACAGGCCAATACAAAACACCTGTTTTTTTTTCTTTTTACTGCAGCACATACCACCTTAGGGAATAAAGGTTGCCAATTTATATATATATATATATATATATATATATATATATATATATATATATATATATATATATATATATATATATATATTTTTTTTTTTTTTTTTTTTTTTTTTGTTGGGGGTCACTGTAAGATTTAAATTTCTTAATGCACTAGTAGTTTGTACAGACTACAAACTACTTTGCCACAAACCACAAAACGCGCAAAACCATCATTTAAATAGGGCGTCTCCAACAGTTTTGCACCTTCCACCAGTTACGCAATCGCTCTTGTTAAATCACCCGCAAACCATGGTTCAACCCCTCGCGCAAAATTCCAGTTTGCGAGCGCAAATTACTGCACGCAAAATTGGATCTTGATAAATCCGGCCCTTAGTCAGAAGAAACAAATTGCTTAACTTTTAAGACAACATTTAACCTTAATTGAAAGTAAAAAAAATTGAGGTTAACTGCACTGTATATTACATATTAATAGTATTGATATATAGATTATTAGATTTTCTTAAGTTGTCCATTAAATTTCTTCTAATAGCCTTAAATATCCCTTTTCTGCTTTTCTAGGCAAACAAAAATCCCATTTCCTTCATTAAAAATACATTTTCAAGTATTGGCACTGACACAATGAAGTGATTTTCTGTGAAAGCTGAATGTTTTCAGTGTTTATGTGGAAGGAGATATCACTGAGATCTGCCTGGCTCTTATGCTTCCTACAGCCAAGTTTAGGGGCTGTTTTGTTTTGTTTGATCCACCACAGGAATTATAATAGCTGACCGATAAAAATGGATAATTAATGTTTTTAGATTGACAAAAGAGAGGCTGAGTCAGCAATGAGTAGACCAATAAGATCGGTCTGTTTTCATTATCTGGCCCTTTGTACGAAAGACTACTCCAATAGACCTCGTTGTCATTTCCTCTTTCTGAAATTTAATTAGTGCTTTTAGTCTCATGGCCTACTGTATGTGAGTATGCAGGGGAATTTTGTTCTATTATTGATGCAAGCAAAAATGCTATCCAGAAGTGAAACTTTGATGGAAGTTATTATTCAAAATTTTATTCTTTTTGAATTGGGATTTACAGATCAGATTCTCTGTAGGTCTTAGATGGGTCCCTCCTGTGGGGTACAGAGAGACGTATTCAAGCAATGTTGCAAATAAATGTCTTACTATATGTCTGCATATAGAACAGTGTACATGAGTCCTCTTTAAATCTTGATTGTTTTTCTATTATGCACCTGTCAGGTTATAAAGATGTGCATATTGCTTATATCAGGGCAACCCTGTATGTTAGCAAAAGCATTTTTATTAGTTAATATGTACATTAAGACTGAGGTTTGTATTGGCCTTGAAGTGAAGAGAATTTAAATCAAAATAAAAAAAAAAAAAATTGAAAAAATTTAGCATGAAAAGAATAAAAGAAAACCCAAAAGAATACAATAGAATACAACTTTATTGTCATTACTCTGTCACAAGTACAAATCAACGAAATGTAGTCTGCATCAATCCAGAAGTTCTATACAGGATATAAATACTTATTTACATGTGTACAGAAACTATGTATGTGTGGACTATACATTATATATATATATATATATATATATAAGCAGAGATTTTTGTAAGAGGCTATAAAATAAATAAATATGAATAACTATATGCAGAAAATACAGGAAAATAGGGTATGGACTATATTAGGGCTGCAACAACGAATCGATAAAATCGATAAAAATCGACGTTTAAAAGCGTTGGCAACGAATTTAATCATCGATTAGTTGTGTCGCGCGATTAATGCGTCATCCGCCGCCGCCGTCATCCCGGGGAAGAAAAAAAAATATGGCGGAGCGAGTCAGCGCCGCAGTTGCAGTGTTGCCAACTCAGCGACTTTTCAGACCCCTCCAGCGACTATTTTTTTAAAAAGCGACTAGCGACAAATCTGGCGACTTTTTACGGTGTCACTGGCGGCTTTTGGAGACTCTTACGTGAAAGCATGTATCGTTCCTACTCTTGTCCTCCAGCGGCAGCTGCTGCCGTGGGGCGCCTCCCCCATCCCAACGCCTTTCTCCCTCTCCCACAGGAATCCCTCTCAGCGTGCAGTCCGAGCCGCAGGATTTTAGTGAGGAGTTTACCCTCAGCGTCCAGACTGCAAATGAAGTGCGCATGCACCAGGATTGACGGCGCAAATTGATCACAATAATTAAAATAGCCTGCGCTTTGTAAAGTGATAAAAGTCGTAACATGCAACTTTTGTAAAAAACAAATGAGCATGGCACGGAAGCACCACTGTTATGACGCAGCACCTGAAAAGAAAACACGTTGGAGCCTTCGATGGCAGTGAAGATAGCTGATCAGCAGGATGAGTAACCATGTTTGTTTCATTTTAAAGTGGGGGAAACGTAAGTTAGTTTCTCAGGTAGCTCATCTGATGCTTTCCTTAGCTTGTTAGTAGGTTACAGACAGTGATAAGGTTGGCTACTTATTTTACTTTTAATTTCATTTAAATTAGCTTAAGCAGTGTTTATATTTTCTTTATAAATAAATTAATTTGCAAATTATGAGGGCAAGGCTTTTAAAGTTTAAATCTTCTGGCAAAGATAAAGTAAAGAAGATCCTGCAATTTATGGAAGTAAAGCAGAATAAAATCCAGCAAGATCAGTAATATGTCAATTAATTATCTGCCACATTCGCATGTAAATATCTGTCTTTGGAGGATGTGTTTTTTTAACACCCCTAGTTCTCTCATTTTTATTCCAAATACAATTTATAATTTGAATCACAGGGCTATCTTTATCTCTATGGTTAAGTATTTTCTTAAGTAGCAACTTTAACTGCTATACTTTCCTGTCTTAAAAGGCAGAACTCTTCTAGTCTAAAAAAACCTCATTTGTTGAAATGGGGGGGCCTATTGTTTGAACCCCTTAGGGGCTTTTAAAAACAAAAATGTCTTTTTTTGCGCTTTATGAAACAAAGTACCCTATATTTTGTGGATGTACAGCTACATTTCTCATGTAAGTTTGCGTAGTTTTAACACAAACATTTATTTTTCATATAGCACCAGTACAGTTAATGAGAAACCTGTACTTGTGTGCTTGTTTGTTCTGTCTAAAATGTTTATTTTGGAATAAAGAGGTTAATATAAAAAAAATATTTTGTGTCAGATTCATCGATTAATCGAAAAAATAATCGTCCGATTCATCGATTTTCAAAATAATCGTTAGTTGCAGCCCTAGACTATATATAATAATGGGGTTATAATACTGGATAAGTAATGACA